CTCACGTCCCGCTAGACGCAGCCCCTGCTGGCTGTCAGCACCCGTGCACTGCACAGCCAGGCAGCAGGGCAGCCTGTTTCTAGGCTGTTTGTAGACGTGCAGGAGCAGAGGGGAGGGAGGGAGTCTCCACCGGTCCTCCTGGGCACGGGTGTTCTACACGTTTGAGCTTGTGCCTATCACAGCTTGGCTCCTGCACTGCATTTACTTTTGGGGCATCTGAAGCATCTTTTATCATTAATCATCCGCAAGTGATACGTAACTGACCCAGCCAGGATTCAGATCCCATGGGGCAAGGCGCAAGCCTATTCCAGTAAGCTCAATGGACAAGAATAAGCAATGGGTCTGTTACCCTTCTTTTCAGAAACGATGCCCTTTTATCCAGATGTCCCAAAGGACCATTTCCTTGGATGGAAACATAAACTAGGAAGACTCATTGGATGCTTTGCACTCAGAATTTCTTCTCCCTTGTGTATTTTTTCATTTTTTAATGTCATGAAAAGAAAAGCCTCTCTGGGAACAAGCACTTGCCTTACCCACAAGTAATTACTCTGATTATGGCTTTCTTAGATAATCAACTGTTTTAAATGGCAATACTGAACTATTATAAATAGGTCATATTTGAAGTGATATTTCATTGTGAGTTATTAAAATAGATGATGTGGTTAACTTTCATTATTTAAAAATGCTGTTTGTGTTAAGTATAATTTCATTGTTAACTATAAAACAAGCCATGACAAAAATTGCATTTCACTGTCTTACGGCTCCTCTGAGCTGTGCACTACAGGACTACCATGTTATTTCTGACTATAATTATCCGTTCCCTTAAAAGAAAAGGAAGTGTTCTAAAGGACTGCAGATCCCCAGCATAACTGCTTACAATACTAGTGATTAGCTTTCTAGTCAACTTGCTATATACAAGATGTCAGAACCTACAGGACATTTTTCTTCATACCTTTAAAAATATAAATACAAAATTCATCTTCAAAAGGCTAAAGAAAAGCAAATGCTTCTACAATCTTCCAAAGACTGTAAGTGGCTATTTAATGTATGAATATTTATTGAGTGTTCTGCTTAAGGCAGCAGCAGCTCTGTAATTACAGACTTCAGCTCACAACACCTTGGAAATGTCAAATATAATTAGATGGTATAATATATATTGTTTTAATTACAAAGTGGAATAGGAATTTTCCTATTCCTCATTAGGATAATAAACCCACCAACCTCAGCTTACATATCTTGACTAATAAGTTTTTATGGTCTTGCCTCCTTAGTCAGCTAATGGAGAGAAGTTCTTGTTTAGCTGTGCCTTAGACCTGGAAATGTAGAATCTGACCCATTTGGATCACACTGTCTTTGCCTCAGGGACTTTGAATCAGGACCATAAGCAAAGCTCCTGAAAATTTTTCATTGGGGGTTTATGTATTTACAGATTTTTTTTGTTTTGTTGTTTTTTTTATAACTGCAAGTGGAGAGGCTTTCTTAAACCACAGAACTGTGTTATTAATATAGATAGAGTTTATATTGCAAAGATCTTGCTGCATTGAGTTAGGTATTGTGCAAGGATGAGAAAAGATGGTTTTTACACCTAAGGCTGAAAATCATACTCAACAAGGATGGAAATACCTAGAGTAAGGTTACAAGAATAAAGAGAACAATAAAAGGTAAAAGCCTCTGTTTTTTTACATATTGCAGGACAAAGTAAAAGGCATCCCTTAGCCAGGAGGGATGATCCTCTCTGAAGCTACGCAACGTGCAACAAATCATGCTGAGGGCCAAGAGCCACAAAATGTACATGACACACTGCAGATGGAGCAAAGAAGAGACAGCTGTGAGAGCAGTTCAGAGGTGAGAACAACATTATCATCACGCTAATGATGGCCATGGTCCTGGCACCCCTGTGGGATACTGGCTTCATTAGTTCTGTTTTTTGTGTACCTGTGAGCATTAAGATTATCTGGGAGCCACAGTGCCAGCACAGTTCATTGACAGTCATATGGCATAACCTACACCTGATTATTTGATTTAGCTGCTAATGCATTTTTTTTTCTAGTGATGAGGAGGCATAATTTGTTTTACTCTCCTGTATCTTTGTATGGTACAACTCTATGTGCCATGGGGAACAGCATTACTTCTCCTCTACTTCTTCTGATACTGGTATTACTGTTCTTACTATCTCAGGTCTTGCGGGGGGAGATCAAGCTGCACAGGAAAAATCCTGTTACTGGAGTAAGTGGAAACCCAAACAACATAAAGTTGTCCTTTGGACAGCTCAGCATCTGGATGACCAACTTTGGCCTCCAGCCTTTTGCCAGCCACACATCCTGTTGTTCTGAGTGAAATCCCCTGCTCTGGAGTGAAGCTGTAGGACCTTTTAACTTTCCCACCCCACAGCATCTCTGCAGCACCCTACATCTCTAATTCAAGGTGCTTGCTCCTCCTAGAGAATTTTCAAATAATCAAATCTTTCCTAAAGCTACATGGTCTTCATAGGCAACATTGATAGACAGCAGTAGCAACCAAATACTGATGGTTTCCTAAATTATACCATCATGGAGATGGTGAGGCTCAAACCAAAAGGAAGGCAACAAGTAAGTCCCACAATTTCTTTATTATTTTGAAAGAACACACAATCTGAAACACATCAGCACAGCAAACTTCTTATATTCATAGCTTCTATAAATTCCTTTTCTATAAAATTATACACTGGTAGCTACACATCTGATACATACATTTTTAACTAGTATTTAACTAAGCAAAGAGTCCATATTTATCTTCAAGTGAGTAATATCTTAAAATCCATACTCTGAGTGCCATCATGGAATGTCACATACTTGAGTGAAACACCTGAACCTTGGTTGTGCGAGGTGCAGCTATGTGGCCCCTCTCAGTTTGGCTACAATGCAGTGCAGGCTGTATCGTTTATCTGTGAACTCATATCCGGATCCTCTGCTGTAAAGCACTATTGTTGCTGAATTGCAGTGTGTCGGTGGCTGCCAGTAGATAGTCTTTAAATGTGGCTACAAAAGTAATTATCCTGGATTATATTTCATTCAGGCTAAATGAGGGAAAAATGAATTGCCTCTTGTTCAATCACAGTTAAATAGTGAAGTCACTCCTCAGTACACAGACCTGAATGACTTGAGTGGTTTTCCTGGAGATTGGCTGCAAATACAAAGACCATGGAATTGATTTGTTTTACCTGTCAGTGTAGGAAATAACAAAATAGGCAGAGAAAGAGCAGCAGCATGTATATGTGCATGCAGCTTTCCAAGGAGGCCAAAACACAATCTGCCAGATGCAGACTAAGGGCAGTATGACTAGCCTGCCTGTCGAGAAAGTTTAATGGAAGCCTGATGGTCTATTTGGGGAACAGATAGGTTATATTTGGAAACATTTTTTTTTCTCTTTAGACTTCAGTAGGTAACCAGGCTGGCCAAGAACTGGAAGCCAAGAAACTGTAAAATCCTTAGGCTGTTCTGCAGTCACAGCAGGCAAGGGATTCTAGAGCAGGGGAGCTGCCTCCTGGCATTTCTCCTGTCTTCTGGGAATCAAGGATCTTTGTAAATAATGAAGCAAATAAACAGGACTGCCTCAAAGAGATAGCTAATGAGTGCCATCAGTTTATCCTCATGGAAACACTTTCAGCAAAGTGCTTGGGAGGAGTGTCTATTTAATA